ATTTTAAAATATTACATCCTATAGATACCTTTTATACTTTATAGCCAAATATCTAATTATAGTTACATCCTACATTTAAGGCACCATATATGCTAAATAATATTTTTCTCTCTCCTTTTTAGTCTTTTCTCTCACATAATCACAGTAAAATTGACTAACCACGTTCTCTCTCTTTTTGCATACACTTTACTCTTTCTCCCTCAACCCACGATTCATACCTCTCCTCCCACCCAAATTCTCTAGCTCTCCTCCATTATCATTCCATTACAATCGTCTAGGGTAAGTTTAATTCATTGATTTTGATAGACGAAGAGCAATTGGTTCAACTGTAGCGGCTANAATATAGCAAAGAGTATCTATAAATGGCTAATTAGACTTAAAAGATGGTGCTTTATGAAAAATTATTTTTATTGAACTTATCATATCTTGAACCAATCCATCTCACCCATTTAAAGTTGGGCTAATCTTTAGCCCAAATTGATACATGAGTAACTTTGTCAGAATGTCTTACAAAATTATTTTTTGTGATATGTTAATATATGACCATAACCATAAAAAAGTCTTATTTAGTAATTATAAAATTTATAAGAAAATAACACATATTAATTAAAGCTTAATAAGATGGGTTATGACCCGAATTTTAGCCCATCTTGACCTAAACCATCTTAGCCCAAGTAATTTTTGGACGGATCTGTTGACCCGCTCAATTATTGACACAACCTATATTGACCCGCCCAAAGGCAACCCATCCCACCCATTTGACACCTCTAGATTTCCCAAGGACCGGTAGTACAAATCATGAGCAGCTAAGATTAGAATTTACAAAGTTGGTATAAAATAAATACATCAAATGTACATAAACAAATCTTTATGAATCTAAGGCTACCACGAATAAGAGGCAGCTACAACCGAAATGCAGGTACATCTTCAAATCCAGCTCCTGTCGAATACAACAACATCAACATCCAATATCTGCACGCAAGGTGCAGAAGTGTAATATGAGTACAACCAACCACATGTACTCAATAAGTAACAAACCTAACCTTAGGTTGAAAGTAGTAACGAGTTGGAACAAAAATCGGGTTCAACACCAATAGCCAACAACAATTCATAACAACATAAAACAAGTAATAAAAAAAGTAACTCTAAGATAAAATGCTTAATTTTTTCATAGTTTCCCGAAAAATATTTTCGCTTTTCAAGTATATCAGTGAAACCCCAAATCCTCAACTGTCACGACCAAATTTCTCTCACGGTGAGTTATCGTGATGGCACCTAGTCTCCACGACTATGTAAGCCTAACACTTTGCGGAAATAAAATAAAAGCATGAATATTAACTACTAACAGTAACAAATATCTAATAAGTAATTGAATGTCACTCGACATATACAATTATCACCTCTGATATTTACCAAACAATTTTCAAAACCCGGAATACCGTAAGTCACAAGCTACTAAGGAGTCTTAACTGTTATATACATCATTTCTATAGAAAGAAGGAAAAATAAACATGGGGGATAAAGGGGACTCCAAGGATCTGCGGGCGCAGGCAGATGTACCTTAAAGTCTCCAATAAGCAGCAGCGACTGCAACTAGTGATGAGGCTGGTAAGATGAACCTAGATCTGTACATGAAAAATATGTGTAGGAAAAGGCGTGAGTACTCCATAATAGTACCCAGTAAATGCCAAGTCTAACCTCGGTCGATTAGTGACAAGATCAGGTCAGGGCCCTACTGGTATATACATACAGTAAAATAAGGCAGAATAAATTATCGTAATAGAATAAAGAATAGAATTTAAACAGAATGAAATCATAGAAGACATCAGCTCAGTACATAGAGATAACAACAGGGGGATCTCCTAGGATACCATCTCGTAGTCCCAAATGTAAATATGCAGGGGGATCTCCCAGAATACTGTTCTGTAGTCCCAAAGTAAATATGTAGTGCAGGGTAATCTCCCGGAATACCGTTTTGTAGTCCCAAAGTAAATATGTAGTATAGGGGGATCTCTCGGAATACCGTTCCGTAGTCCCAAGGTAACTATGCAGATCAAATAGTAGAAACAACAACTATAACACAAAATTCTATAGTTTAGACTAAGTACAAGTCAAGGAAAAACAGGAAATTTCCCTAAACATGCTGCACATAGTTCAGATAAGCAATTAAGGCAAGTAGGCATGCTATTTCAAGCTAGCAGGGTACTACACATGCTAATATAACTCAAATAAGAAGAAGAACATGTTATTACTCTATGAAAATCGGGTTTTGACAATAATTAGCCCGTGTACATACTCATCATTTCACATACACGGTGCTCACATATCAAAACAATACCAAATTTTAAGGGGAGTTCCCCCACACAAGGTTAGGCAAGACACTTACCTCGAACCAAGCTCAAATCAATCCGTAATAATGCTCTTTTCAGGAATATCCGGTTCCGGATGGCCCAAATCTAGCCAAATCAATTACATAATGTAAATATAGCTACAAGAAACTAATCTAGCTAATAAAATCAAAGCTAAGGTAAGAAAATATAAAGACGCCCAAAAAGCCTCCCCGGGCCCATATCTCAGAATTGGGTAAAAATCACAAAATATGAACACCCATTCACTCACGAGTTCGCTCGTACCAAAATTATCCAAATCCGATGTCAAAATCCCAATCAAAACTCGAAATCTTAGTTAAAGAACTTTTTCCCATTTTCCTAATTTTCACCCCAAATCTGAAATTAGATGATAAAATTAATGATAGATTAGTGAGATATAACCAAAATCAAATTAAGAATTATTACCCAATTGATATCTCTGAAGATCCCTCAAAATCACGTCCAAATCCGAGCTCCCAAACTCAAGTTTTGATAAAAATGTCTAACCCTCATTTTTGAAATGTTTAAGTACTGACCAGGTAATCCTTCTTCGCAAACGCGTCCATCTCCTCACGTTCGCGTGGAACAAAAATCCACTGATCAAATTTCCTCTTTCATGAACGCGAGTTTCATCTCGCGATCGTGTAGCTTCACCTGCCAGACCCTTCCTAACGTGTTCTCCTCTACGCGAACGCGTAGAACATATTCCCGAGGTCCCAGTTGTTCCATTTTCCTCTTCGCGGATGCATTCTACTCCTCGAGTTCGCGATGCTTCCACTGACCACACCTTCGCGAACGCGAGCTCCTCTTTGTGAACGCGAAGGACAAACTTCTGCAACAAAAATATCAAAAAAAATTTTCTACCTTTCCAAAGTCCAAAATGATCCGTTGAGCATCCGAAACACATCCGAGGCCCCCGGGACCTCAACCAAACATAGCAACAACTCATAAAATATCATATAAACTTAGTCGATCCCTCAAATCATATCAAACAATGCTAAAACTACAAATCACCCTCCAATTCAAACTTAATGAACTAGAAACTTCCAAATTCGACAACCGATACTGAAACTAACCAAACCACGTCCGATTGACCTCAAATTTTGCACACAAGTCATATTCAACATTACGGACCTACTTCAACTTTCACAATGGGATTTAGACATCGATATCAAAAATTCCACAATCTGTCCAAAACTCCAAAAATTCGACTTTTGCCATTTCAAGCCTAAATAAGCAATGGAGCTCCAAAACATAATCCGGACACGCACCTAAGCCCAAAATCACTCAACAGAGCTAACAGAATTGACGAAACTCCATTCTGGAGTCGTCTTCACATAGTTCGGACTACGGTCCAAATTCTAAGACTTAAGCTTTCGTTTAAGGACTAAGTGTCCCAATACACTCCAAAAACCAAAACGAAACCTCCTGACAAGTAACAATAGCTGAAATTAGATACGAGGAAGCAGTTAATAGGGGATCGGAGTTATAACTCTCAAAACGACTAGCCGGGTCGTTACATCCTCCCTCTCTTAAAATAATCGTTCGTCCTCGAACGAGCATAGAGACATACCTCAAGTGGTGAAAAGACGAGGATAATGGCTGCGCATATCCTACTCGGTCTCCCAAGTCACCTCCTCGACCAGTTGACCCCGTCACTGAATCTTTACTGATGCAATGTTCTTTGACCTCAGCTTTCGAACCTGCCTGTCCAAAATAGCCACTGGCTCTTCAACATAAGATAGATCCTTGTCCAACTGGACTGAGCTAGAATCTAGCACATGCGACGGATAGTCGTGATACTTCCGGAGCATCGAAACATGAAATACCGAATAAACTCCTGCTAGGCTGGGAGGTAAGGCAAGCTCATAAGCAACCTCCACAACTCGCCGCAACAAATCAAATGGACTAATGAACTTTGGGCTCAGCTTTCACTTCTTTCCGAACCTCATGACGCCCTTCATGGGAGAACCCCGGAGCAAGACCCGCTCTCCAACCATGAATATAATATCGCGAACCTTCCAATCCGCATAACTCTTATGTCTGGACTGGGCTATGTGAAGTCTATTCTGAATCACCTTAATATTTTCCAAAGCATCCTAAACCAAGTATGTATCCAATAATATAGCCTCGCCCGGCTCGAACCAACCCATTGGGGACCGGCACCGCCTATCATACAGAGCCTCATACGGTGCCATCTGAATGCTGGACTGATAATTGTTATTGTAGGCAAATTTTGCAAGGGCCAATAACTGATCCCAAGAACCTCCAAGCTCCATCACACACGCACGGAGCATATCCCCAAGAATCTGAATAGTGCGCTCGAATTTTCCGTCCGTCTCAGGGTGAAATGTTGTGCTCAACTCTACCCGAGTACCCAACTCATGTTGTACGGCTCTCAAGAACCGTGATGTAAACTGTGTACTCCGATCAGAGATGATAGATACCGGTACGCTATGAAGTATGACAATCTCGCAGATATGAACTCGAGCTAGTTGCTCGGAAGAATAGGTAGTCATCACAGGAAGGAAGTGAGCTGACTTGGTAAGCCTATCCACAATCACCCAAACTGCATCAAACTTCCGCTAAGTCCGTGGGAGTCCAACAACAAAATCCATAGTGATCCTCTCCCACTTCCACTTCGGAATCTCTAACTTCTGAAGTAACCCACCCGACCACTGATGCTCATACTTCACTTGCTAGAAATTGAGACATCGGGTTACATATTCCACTATGCCCTTCTTCATCCTACGCCACCAATAATGCTGCCTCAATTCCTGATACATCTTCGTGGCACCCGGCTGAATGGAGTACCGCGAGTTATGAGTCTCCTGAAGAATCAACTCACGCGACCACAAAGGTCTATTACGCGTGACCTCCTGGTCACATGACATCAACTTTACCAGTTACGCCAAGGCTCTCCTTCAATATCAGTGTATATAAGTAAAATCCTTTATGAACTCTTTTCAACCCTTTTCTATGGCCAAAATATATGATTGAATACTTGAGTACTGTAAATGTTACCCTAAGAACATAATCTGTGTAAACCTTTGCTTCCTGTCCTTCTGTTGCTGCAGCCTACATTTCCCAAAAACAACAAATAAAAAGTATAAATGTAGATATACAAAAAATTTAGTACTTCCTTTCATTATTAGTAAATTTTGTTTGTATTCTTACCTTCATGTAGATACCAAGATCAGGATCTGGTTTAATATTAGCTTCTTTCTCTCTTCTTGATAATTCAGCCAACATCTCTACACAAGTTTTCAAGAAAAATAATAAATAAATAAATATCTATATGTTTTTACTACAAAAAAGAAAGAAATAAAACTCACTTATATAAATTGAATTTAGTTAAAAAAATCAATAAGAAAATACTAACGATATCTAGAGCCAACTCCTAGACATCTTGCAGAGAATTCCAAAGTTTCTCTTACAGTCATTTCTCCAATATGTAAATCATGTTGGCTAATATAAACAGCTGTTCTTTGTGGCACAAATTCATGTAATTCATGTCCATTATATGTCACCTTCCCATTAACCTAGTTTCCAAAAAAAAAAGATAGAAAACTTTAGTTTTTTTTTTCTTATTTATAAACGCATTTAACTTCTATAAACTGACAGTGTACAAAAACTTATAGTATGAAGTCACTTTAAAGGTAGTTAAAGGTAATCATCCTCAATTAGTGGAATTAGTAAACTAAAAAATAAGACAAGCAATTTTCTACAGTAGGTTAAATTATAATGATGGTGTAGAAAATCAATTTTATTGTCATTGAATATAAAATATATCTTTTATACAAACTTTTTTTCTTTTGTAAACTAAGGAACCCGCAGCCGCTACCCTTCGTATGCACTCTGGGTAAACCCTGCTCCAGTATAATAGCTCGCAAACTACACTCGAGAGGTATACCGTACTAGGCAAACCCGTGAGACGAGCTCGACCGAGAAAGTGTGCATGGGGTTTCAAACCTACAGCCTCCCATTTGGGAGGTCTTCTGCTCAACCAACTCAGTCACCCTTGCGACTTTTATACAATATCTTTATTATAAAATTTATCTATGATATTTGGAATTAAAAATATTACCCTTAGAGTAGGATCAAGCTTTCCAGCCAAAGCTAATAAAAATGTAGTTTTTCCAGAGCTTGGAGGTCCCAAAAGCAGAGTTAATCTGCATGGCTTAATCATTCCACTTATATCTTTGAGTATTGTAATTTGTCTCTTTTTACTTGGTAGAATGTGAAGAGAATTCAACAGTCTTTGGAGCCAAAAATTGAAGGAAAAAAAAAACACAAAAGTTAGTATGATAAAATAACAACTCCTTTGCAAATTAAAAAAATAGATATATAAAAAAAATATTTTGTTTTTTGTTTTTTTTGGTTTAGATTTTTACCTCAAAGAAGTTGGTAATGAAGTTGATAAAAGTAGGCAAAGCTCTGCTTCCTACATATGCATCTGCCTCAATAGTTAGATTCTCATATCTTACTTCTATTGATGGCATATCAATGCCAACTCTGTTAATTTTCCATTTTTTTTTACCAAAAAAAAAGGAACAAAAAGTTAAATACCAATCAAATAAAAATAGAAAAGGTAAACTAGGTAAAACTTTGATGCACTAAGTTCCTGTTATGCTTAGGTCCGAGAAAAGGTATCACCTCGAGTCCATTATACTACTGATATCTCGCATTTCTGTGTAAGAGAATGTTTTCACAGTTCAAAACTCGTGACCCTTGGGCACACAATCTTACCTTGCATTTTACAAGTGACTGTTTTTACGTCTTAAACCCATGAACATTTTGTCATTATGATGACAACACTCTTACCGTTGCGTCGAGATTCCCGAAAATTGTAAGCAAACTAGTATAAGAGCAGCCCGGTGCACTAAGCTCCGAGGCTGCTTAGTCCGGGAACCGAACAGGACAGACCACAAGGTTCTATTATATTGCACGCAGTCTTATACTGCATTTCTGCAAAAGACTGTTTCTACGGCTCGAACCCGTAACTTCTTGGTCACATGCCAACAAGTTTACCAGTTACACGAAGACTCCGCTTATGTAAACAAACTAGTATATATCATATCATATCATCATATACTATGCTAAAAGTGGGAGGACCCTAAGTTGTAAAGTTGATTTACCAAAACATCCATTAAAATTAGTAAAAGACATTTTTATCCCTCATTGAAACACTATTCCTTTAATATTGTTGTATCAAATAGTAAATTTTCCTACCAATAAAATGGCTTTGTTTAAATGAGGAAGTTTAAAAGACTTATGCTAGGGGTTAAATCACAAAATGCAACATATGTGATATTTCACCTAATTTTATTGTTAAGTATTGTTCATTGACAACTGTCATGCAATTTCTTAACATTATTATTTATGTTCCTATATAAGTGTTATATATTGTATGTTTTTTATATAAATTATATATCTTACTGGAATAGAGTAGTATGTGATACTATAACACAATATGCTAATTTATGTACGTCAAGCAAATATCTTAACAATTGTACATCAAATTCACGCAATCTAATTTTAAAAGAGATCAATAAATGGACTATTATTTCAACCTTATCATTTAGTTTCTGTATGTTTATTGTTTAGTATGTTATACTTACTAATCCCAAAAGAAAGAAGACAATCTAATTAGTTTGGTAATTGAAGGCAAATTTCAAAAATCTCAATAGGACACTTTCTCCTTTAAATTTTATTTTATAACTCAAACATATTATTTTAATCACATATGTAGTTTCTTATAACTGTATATATACTCATCCACACAGGGCACACGCATTCCCAAATATATATATATATATATATATATATATTCTTTCACTTATAACGTGTCAATTCTATTCTTGAGTTTCAGCAACAACTTCTCTTCGTCAAGCAACTTTAACAAGCCTCTCAAGTAAACTCTTTCTTTCTTGGTGTCCAAAATCATTTATATAAACAAACTAATATAAGAGCTGTCTGGTGCACTAAGCTCCCACTATGCGCGGGATTCGAGGAAGGGCTAGACTCTTGTGCACTAAGCTCCCGTTATACGTGGGGTCCGAAGAGGATCAGACCATAAGGGTGTATTGTACGGAGCCTAACTCTGTATTTTTGCAAGAGGTTGCTTCCACAGCTCGAACACATGACCTTTTAATCACATGAANTATATATATATAGGTAAAAAAAATTCTCACTTACGTGTCAATTCTATTCTTGAGTTTCAACAAGAACTTCTCGTTATCTTCATCTGCAACTTTAACAAGCCTCTCAAGTAAAGATTTCCTTTCTTGATGTCCAATATCATTTATATCAACTTCAGCAGCAGAATCACCTTCTGATCCAAACAATAAACCTTTTCTCAGACGATCAAAAGTTGGCAATTTTTCTAAAGCAGCCCATTTAAGAGCTTCTTCATCATCTTCATCTCTAGCTGAACGTGAAAATATTGAACTACTATTTGCCCTAAAATTTCCCCTTAAACTATTACTCCCTCTTAAAATATTAAGATTTGCTGGCTCCATATCTTCAACCAACGTAACGTCAACGTTGACTCTGATCGATCAAAAGACTAGTCTCTTAAACCATGCAAAACCATGCAATATTTAACGCCCTGAGGCGAACGATTGTATCCAAAAATGAAAAATCTATCTCCAATACTTCAAACGTGTTCAAATGAACGTGAAAGAGTATTGAGAGATAACCAAAATTGTTTTCTTGAAGTTTTTTTAGGTTTTTGATATATGGTTATATAGAAGAAAAGAATGAGAGGGAAAGTCAGAGTTGATGCTAAAGATAAAGGCAGAGCGGTTATATAGCAGCAAGTTCAGGAGAGGGTGACTATTGGATAAATTAATCAAATATTAACGCAAATGTAGTCTTTTTTTTCCACTATTCTTTTGTTGAATATTTTGACTTGACTAGATTTTGACTAATTATTGATTTTTCCAAGACAAGTGGAGAATAATGAGGAAAATCTAGAAGCTGATTCTTGATTAGAACCTTTGAATATTTGCAACCTCGGCAATAAAAGATGAAGAATTTTTAAATTTAAATATAAATATATACTATGTGAGCACGTGATTTTTGTTTTTCGCACGACAATTGCTCCAAAAAGAAATAAGAAATAATAATTGGCCCTGCTGTACAATTTTGAATTTCTGTGCGGCACCTTGTTGATTTATTTGTGACTTCGGCCCATTTTTATTTATTTACTTTATTAAAAATAAAATTCAAAAAATATATGTGTCCTGCATAATTCAAACCGTAATCCAGTCGTTAAATAGAAAATCATGAGTAGGCATCTTCGTCCGTGATTTTATTTTGTTTAACTTTACTTGTTTGAAATATTTTAGTGTGCGAATAATTGTATTGAGTGTGTATTTAATTTTAATTTGATTTTTGGCTTAGTTTTGTTTTAAAATAAAAAAAGGAAATAAATAATAAAAAAAAAAGGGTCCCTTTATTCTTCCGGATTTGGGCCAATTTTAACAAAATTGGCCCAAAAAACAGCCCAAGACCCAGGCCTGCCCGGTCCAGTCCAGATGATGCCCAGAGAGAGTCCAAACG